ATATATATATATGCGAACGTTTTCTTGAGCTCCGAAATATCTACCCCCACTCCTTTGCAAAGATTAGTTGAATTAACAATAAATAATAGCAACGAGCGTTGTAGACAAATTCTGATAACCATAAATGTTCTCTCCCATGTAATAAAAACTATTTTGCATGGAAAAACGAACGAATCAGTTTGATATAAAATTCCATTTGTGAAAATAACTTAACTCCCCACTCTTCTCGTAACTAGCGAAGCGAGGGCTTAAGAAAATGTGCGCGAATAATACAACAGTTCTTTACAAACCAAGAATATAAATGAAGTTATTCCGTAACACAATTCGCGAATAACAAATATTCAATGGCGAAAGGCTCCTCGGAGCCTTGCTATCTCATTTCATCTCTGGGTCGTATGTAGTGAGGCGCGAAGTATGAGAATTCTGTCGGTCCGCGCATTATGAGAAAAGTTATAATAATACAAGCAAACATTTGCATTTCCAATCAAAATCGAAACTTTTCATAGCTTCTATATATTCCCAAGTTATTGATTATCAAACGAAATCACTGACACCTCCGGAAAGGCCGGAGGCTGCATAGTTTTCTTTCAGTTTCTGCGTGCTTTGGAAATGATTACGTAGATACCGTACTGGGGTTCTTGCAACCTTAAGAAATGCAATTCTGCTTACCTTGCAAGTTTCAGTTATTAAATTTATTCTCGAATTGATCTCCTTGAAAACCGAATTATCTTTCTAGTGGATATGCGCAAGAGCATGAAACAACTCTGAGAAACTGCTGTATCTGGGACTGTAGTGTCGTCACTATAATGACGTTGAAACTCGCGATTGGATACAAGAGTCACTGATGACAAAGTGTCAACGGACTTAATGTTTTAATCGAAGTATACAGTAGTCTTGCGTGAACGCCATGTCGAGAATCAATTATCGCGCTTCACTGTGTTGCAGTCTCGTTACTTAGTTCAACGACTTGCCATTAGCGCTGCTATCGGATCCGGCGGCAGTGTCTGCGAGTGTAACTATATTTTTATGTATACTCCGATGAAAAGAAAGGGCAAGTTGACAGCGATCAACTGCGACGTTTATTCAATCGGAACCTTCGTTATAGCTGCTATTGTGATATCGAAGCTCCCAATTGGACAACGTAGTCTCAGCTGATCATAAGTCAATTTCCCTAGCACTTTAATCGAAGTATAATCAGTACCTGTCATCTGCCTGTCATTCTTTGCCGGCTCTAAGACCATGTGCTGTCAAAATAACGCATATCGCGTTTTAGCGTTTTGTGGGTTATTAAGATAATTAATTAATTGGTGCACTCATAGATTAACAGGCCCAATGGATGTATCTTCCTTGATAGAAGTGGTTATAAAAACAGAGGACGGAGTAAGAATCTTGTATTATGATTTTGTTGTCCCTGTTACAAATGAGTTACAATTTCAACAATTTTGATAGACATTTATTATGGGCGCAGCGCTTTTGACATTTTGCATATCTTTCTGACTCAGTCTTTGTTAGTTAACTACTGTAGTATATTACATAATGATTTTAAGTGCCACAGAAACTAGTTTGTTTCAAAAACAAATCCAAAAAATAAATCTGCATTTACATAATACTGTTATTAAACATTAAAATTGAGTAGAAGACCTTGTGGTATAAATGTTTGCTAACTAAAAGCGAGATGTAAGGATAGAAATGAAAGTGTCATGACTGAAAAATAAAAGTTAATATTCAAAACTGACGATTCATATTGGTGTACTAGTATTACCATGCAATTTGATAATGATCAAATTTTTAATTTTGCATTATAGCCTACTTTAATTTTATTGGATTCTTAAATTAAAGTGTTTCATTAATGTTTTCTGTCTTACTGGTTGGCGTTGACAGTAGCTACAAAAAATACCGAATCATGAACTGTTTTTTATGTTTAAAATTAGCATTTTTTAGAATTGAGATTATTTTAAACATTTTAATTGCCACTAAAGTTTTATAAACTGCATATGATATTTGACCAGAAGAATAATTCATACCAACTCTTGTACTTGTAGATTGGGATTTTAACAGGGATGTGAATTGTAAAAACCAAAAGTTCTGATTTAAGGTTAAAGATGATAGTAATAATACCAAGATTCTTTATGAGATATTTTGGAAGTGCTAAAATTACTCATTTTCTACTGAACAACAATCTAAAAACTTTCAATTTGAGGATCACTGCATGTTACCTTATTAGAATGGTGGTGTTTCATGCAGAAATATATTAAATGCATTGAACAGTTTTACTTAAAGAAGTTGGTTCATAAATAGAAATTAACTGTATGAATTTCTTACAGGTGCATCTTTATCATTCATGCTATTGAACAGCCAACATTTAGAAATGTTACAGGACACACTTCAGTTTTTAAATTGTGGTATATTTTTAACTTTCTAGTGTTGGCAGCTAAACTATTAGTTAAAGAGTTGTGATTTTCAGCTTTGGTAATATGCTGTTAATAAAATGTTTTTAAGTTACTACTGTGTGAATTCCCATGTTGATCTTGACCTTGATGTTAAATGAAATTGAGGATTGCGAGGACAGGTCATTAAATATTCTTTGCTTTTACAGTTC